AGTATGTTAGTTCAGCTCACAATCGGTAATTTCGACTACAATTTTTCAACCGGAGTTAGAAAAGTTAGTTCAAACAATTTAGTAATTAATCAAGAAATTTAAACAATTCAAAAATTTTACGAAAAGCTAATAAAAAAATAGGAAGGCTGAATAGGATTGAAAAGATATACTGCTGTTCAGTTTGACACCTTGAAATTACTCTGGATAGTGGTCAGAGAATACCTGGTAGCTTCCACACGGATTTACTCCTGTCTCAAGACTGGTAGAACAGGCCTCCTTCACAGATATACCAGCAAATATAACTGCTAGGTTGATGATCTAACTGGCAAGGCTCTAGGACTGGCTTTTCAGGCTACCTTTAGAATATCGACATCAGGTTTCTCTTCCCCAAAAACCGTGAGCTGGTGATTGAGCTGCACACAGGTAGTTGGTCTTCTTCAATTGTGGTTGTGTCTCACAAGGTGTGTCATGAAATAAACGTGAAGCAGTATGAGCAAGATTCAGAGGAGGGATGCAGGAATGGAAGAAATAATCCAAAGTGATACAACTAACTATGGATCCAATAATTAGAAATTTTTATATGAACTTTATATAATATGAAATGATAATGTATATAAGGAAATATATAATCTACAAGAAAATAAATTTATAGAATCGATTCTATGAATTATATCCTACGATTTTTACAAATTTTAACTGAGAATAAAAAAATAGTTTGACTTATTGAAATTTATTAAGTGATTGAAATTGCTGTGGTAGGAAAAATTGTACTCTCAATATTTTTTTTTCAATTGAAAGAAAATGACTGATAATAGTAAAAATTACTGATGATACAAAATTACTGATTAGGTACAAATTATGACCATGGACTGAAATGGTACTAATTAAGTATATCTGTTACTTAAACAAATAATGTTCAAAGGAAACTTTCCATGAAATAGCAAAAATTGTCTTAAATCAATTGGATAAAATTGATATCACTCAATATGTGAAGATTCTATTCGAAAGAGTGAAGTACTTCTTCAAAAGTGAGGAAAATAACATCAAATAATTGATAGTAAATTTGAAAATAATTCCAGATAACGAGGCACTTCTAGAAAAATGAGGAAATTATATCAAGAAAATTGATAACTATTGAGAAAAATTCACATAAAATATTCCACAAAAAAAAATAACTGATCTCAAGACAATTTCTGGTATTATTTCATATGAAAATTATATTGAAAAGATAAAGAAATATTTCTCAAGGATAGCTCAAGAAAATCGGTTAAAGGGTTTGCACTTTGAGACAGGTGACCATTACATAGCTGTTAACTTTATCTTGCAGTGTCTCGAAATGTGATAACACAGAGGAACCACCAAGTACAGTAGTGAATCAGGGTTCTAGCAGAAAACACCACCGGAATGAATTTCAAGCCCTTCAAATGTGGCAATTAGCCAGTACCATAACCAACAAATAGGCAGTAACTGAACTTGAAACTCTAGAGGCTGATGCTCACTCCCAAAACACCGACTCAGGCCTGCAAAGGACAGTTTCCTGACAATATCAAAAAATGTGAATAATTCACCAAAAAAACTCTATGAAATATGCTATACTGAAGAATGTGAATACAACTTAATCAAAGATATTATACCAACTTTAAAAAATTCACCAGTACAAGAGAAGAACTATAATAAATGTATGTGAATGCCCCAATTATATGAACTCTGTGAATACTTCACCAAGAAAACTATATGAACCCTAGTATATGAAATCAGTGAAAAGTGCAAGTTATGCCAACAGGACGGACAACTACGTCTGTGGTGTAGGAGAGTGGAGTCTCACTTATGGATATGATCCGTGAAATTGTTTGATCTACTAATGATTGCTTATTAAATTGAAAATCCACTCACCTTACACTCAGCGTAGTACTTCAATAGGTCCTTTCCTGGTTACACACTCCTTGGGTTCAAATTTTCCAGAATCTCTCCTTGGATTATAATCCCTTCTGTCTGATAACACTTCAAATAACACGTGTGTAGTACTTCAGATAGCACGTGGATAGTACCTCAGAGAGCACGTGGATAGTACCTCAGAGAGCACGTGGATAGCACTGAAAAATGATCACAACGACAGAACAAATCTATGGCACAGTAGCTGTCTCAAAAAATTGCAATGATATCAGAAAAAAATGGTTTTATTCAGTCCCAGAAACCTCTATCATCATATAAATGAAAAGCACGTGCAACTAATAAATTTAATGTTGAGTGAAAGCCAGGCAGGAATGATATTTAATTCAAAAAGTTATGTGCAAGGAACATTCTGTGAACTCAATGATCTTTACTCAAATCATAAGTCAGACATGTGTGACCATGCCTGATCTGGAAAATATTCAATTTCTCCAAAAATAGCAGGAAAAGAAAAAAATAACTACCAAATTTGCTACTATACGAGAAACTGCAAACAATTAACAGCTAGTATTCAGACAATGATTGAAAATTAAGAAAGTGCAAAAGGGAATGGTTTTACCTGTCTCAAGTCACAAAACCTTCAAGTCAACTCTTCCAGTCGAGAGCCAAATCAAGAGAGAGCTAAAATCTTCAATTCTCCATCATATCGATTCCAAAAAAAAGGTTTTTTTTATAAATTTGATGTTTACTTTTTCCAAATATCATACTCTATCTGATGAAGTGAGATGGACAATCCTCCGTTTACCAACCCAACAAATAAATTATGTTTTGACACAGAACACGAAACCAAGATGATAGATTGACCACGGAACATAAATCAAACTCATGGAACTTGCGGATATTTCAAGCAGTGGGAGTCATTCGCCTGACAAACGTTAGCAATCTTGAAATTGGAGATGATACTTACGGTGTCACAGAACTATTGGCGAGAGTAAATGATATTTGTGGGTACTGCACTACATGAAACGCACTATCGGACTAGAGGCACAGAATACAGAGATGTGATTAGTAGAAATGTAACGACAAATTCAATTTTTCGTTACAATGTTCATAAATTCATGTTTGCCTATATTTGTTATGTATCAGTCTCTAAAAAATATTCAGCTCATATTTTGTATTGACTCTACCGTTTCTTGATGAAAATCCATATCTTGATGAATACAATAATTGACCGATCGCTAGCTAAAGTCAACTTGTATTACCGCGAAAACACCAGCTATCTTTCAATTCTGATTGGTCTATCAGTGTTGGTTTTTCCAACGATGTATATGTATAACCATGGATAACACAGTCTGTGAGTTCGACATTAAATGATTATGACTAATAAATGTTGAGGTCCCCCGTGCTCTTCCTGGAACTGAACTTAACAATTTAAACATGTATTTTTGAAAAAATTTACAATTACCCATTAGGAAACTTTTTTGTTAAATGTATGTCTGTTCCTAATTCCGTTTGTACCATCATGATCACTTCTTAGCCGACAGCGCATTGCGATTTCATAATAAATTACACACGAAATACAAAATCTCTTCATTTTTTAAAATGATTTTAGCTATATAGATGTCAGAATGAATCGTTTTGGTTAAATGGCTTGTTCATTTATATTAAGTGCTTTTAATGCTTCGTGAAACCGCTAGTCTAACAGAATACCACTCTGTTCTGAATATCTTCTTATGATTCTGTATCTCATTGTTGTTGTTGTACAGCAATACCACTCGTCCTGATAGACTCCTGGAGTTGCCCGGCAACAAAATTCGGTGAATAATAAAGCTATCAAATTGAATATTCAGAACACCTTGATATTATTGTAGACGGTAATACATAGAATAAATACATAGTACATGTTCCTAAGACAGTAGCTTCAAGTGGAATTCTCGTGTAATAAATTGACCTAATTTTGATTCGCCTTACTCTTTAACGACAAGCTGAGTCGATATGTATATGCGAAACTACTGAGATAATAGTTTCCTGAAATTTGGTATGCGGGGGGGTACTTCAAAGTGATGCCCGTTTCAACTGAAATATTTCAACTTCTCCGCAGGGTCCGAATCATTTCATATAGTGTCTCGTAATATGCTTCGTATCCTAATCCAGTTCAGTCTGTTAGAAAAGTCTCATACACTACCTAGTCCAGATACAATAATTCATGAATAACCTCATTTGTTCTAGAGCACAGTTGAAAAAATACAATATTTGTATTCTTTTAACTGTGTCTAGAGTTTTGTTTCCGAGATTCAGGGTGTTGATGTTAGGAATATTGATCAACATTTGCAATTATCACACTGAATCCTACGATTTCATAAGGCAAAATTCAGTATGGTTAGTGACTGACACATTCTCAAAATCTTGAAGATATTCTCATAATTATGATTGTTCAGTCGACTTCAAATCAAGTCTTCATTTTCATTTTCTCGAAAACCTTGCTGTTCACAAAACTCATGAAATAAGAGTAGAAATAAGTTGCAAATTGAATTCATTACTCGAAGAAAAATATGATACATAGAAAAAAAAACAGTGGAGAACAATGATTTTCACCATACATATTCACTCTCTGTAGTCCGAAACAGAAGCTCAAAGACAGCTAGTTAGTAGGAGGTTTTCTCGATTATCCTTGTTTTTAAACAACTGTGAAAATTCTGGTTGTGTATTCACAAGATGATTTAGTTTGTTAAGTACCTCATGAATGGACATGTATTTATATCGAAATTGATCTCTCAAGAATGTTACCCCAAACAGGACTATGAATTCATAGGCACTATTGAATAATGTCTACGCAGAAAAAAGCATTGTCATTATCCCACTTGGATATATACGTTTTGGACCAATGCCAAATTTTTCATTAGTTTCATGATAGTTCGATTGAAATAAGAATGATACTATACACATTATTGAGCCAATGAGAGATGAATAATGTCAAATTACGCGAATTAACCTATTTGCAGTGTCATAAACATACATACATATATATGCATCTGGAAATAAAATGTTCACTAGGCTAGTTGTTTGTTCAAATTGTCTGTAGAAAATGAATTTCGTTTATTTTTTCATAGGAAACTACTCTAGACTGGCTTGTGAAATCCAGTTCGTTAGATCGATGGGTTACTATCTTATCCAAATCTATATCCCGTCCGGCCTTATTGTCATCATTTCCTGGGTAAGTAGGTATACATATAGGCAGTGTTCTGTAAATTCTCCAAATCACATTTTGTACGCCCTTATAATTTTGGATAGATTACCGCAACTATTTCTATTGCAATGATTTGTGTTATCAGCACAGTTAAATATGATAATTCATTTTACTGTGGTTGACACATTCAGAAACACTCAAAGTTATTTCCACAAGAATATTCACGAATTTTCACATGAAATATATTTATAAAGAACAGCTAGTTTACAAATGAATGCGATACGATTGTCTGGAGAGTCTGGAAATTCAAGATGCGCACACATAGGTAGGTATTGCATTTTCCAAATAAATTTTTTTTGATTTCATTCCATTTGGCTTTTTGTCAGAACTCATTGTAGGTAAGTCATTAGTTCAATCAACGAATGCCAAAAAAGGTCGAATATAGGGGTAAAAATCGTGTATAGTCGCAAATTTTTGTACAGTGGTAGAGGAAAAAGTGCAATGAACAACATGATCTTAAATAATTCGAAAATTGCAACCTCTAGGAAAAACATGTTGGTATACCAAATTGAACAACATAGAATTCACTATGAAAAAGTCTACATTCATTTTTCGTCCACAATGAATGATTTTTGAGACACAGGAGATGAAAAAATCGAGGAATATCAAAAACAGTTTAATTGTATAATACTCATGTTCATTGTCTCACTTTTTTCCGGTGTTTCATGGAATGTATACCTATAGGAGATGGCAGTGAGTTTCTCACATGAATAAGTTATCTGTGAACAATGGCTGAAAAGTGTTTAATCAATTAGTGTGATGTCAGAAATTTAGGTAACATTAGTAGAAAAGGGATACGTAGATTGGAATAAAAGATTGATGAAGAAGCTGCAGAGCCGGATTTAACGGTCTCGAGGCCCTGGGGCAACAGAAGAGTGGAGGCCCCTGGCTCCATATTGTTTTTCATATAAAATTGACAAATTTCTCGGTCAATAATTTTCAAACTAAATCATCTCAACATATACGGGTTTTTTCTTGAGTAAGTGTAAAAAGTTCAGGAGCATGTTGCTGAAGTTTAAATAGGAAGATGACACATTTCCGCAAGTTATTCACTCTAATATCACGTTTATTACTAAATCGACTCACAAAAAACAAAAAAAAGAATCAGACTTCGACACTTTATATCTCAGAAATGAATAACTTGCGGACATTTGTTTACACGAAATTTTCTTTTCATTTTGACGTCAGCAACATGCTCCTGTAATTTTTACGCGTACCTAAAAAACACCTAGTAGAGATATTGTCAAAAACATGAATTATCTGGAAGAAGGCTTTGTCCCATCGAAATTCGAAGCCTATTTTTTATAATTATCATTCTTGGAGATGAGCGTTCTCCAGTGAAATTCGATGTTATCAAAACCAAATACAATGCGATTCCAATATTCGGGAATGTAATTCTTGAACCCTCATCTTCAAGAATATTTTATCAAAATACCTCAGTAGATAGGTTTCTTCCATAGCCCTCTTCAATGAAAACGCGGAAACGAACACCCATCCTCTGAGGCTACGGACAGGTATTGCCCCATTCGGCCGCCATTGGGATACTCTATCAAGATGGGTAGTAAATTTCAACAACTGCTTATCAGGCCATTTTGACAAATAGATATTTTCAGATTGGAGTAAACAAATATAGTTGAATTATTTTTCAATATCATTCAAGAATAAGATGATCATGTTCCTACAAAGTACTGAGGGTAAAACACCTAACTTACTTTATCGATGGAAAATATTGAGGGAACCACACGGTGTTGTTCATATATCTTGCAGAAAATGGTATATGAGAGTTGACTTAATCGAAAAAATTCTGAGAGAAGATCATTCAGAAGAGCAACAGCCTTCAACGTCCAGGATTCCCTACGTCTACATTCAGCTGGATAAAAAAAATCGAGGGTAGGATGGATCGCTCATTCCAGTGACAATCAAAGACTCATTAGTAGTCAGGACTTTCGGTATCCTGTTCACTGCACTTCCCCCTAACCCTCTACAAATATTTGTGACTACACTGGACCAAATACCAATAAGCGTCCCGTTGAAAGTTTTCGATTTAGAGTTTTCTTCCATTGTTACAATGTTGTGAATGATAGGTACTCCACTTTGAGGCGATGGACTTTAATCAAAGTTTCTCTCTGTTGTTCCAGGTGAGCTTCTGGCTGAACCGAAACGCAACCCCCGCCCGAGTAGCGCTAGGAGTGACCACCGTGTTGACCATGACCACTCTCATGTCCTCCACGAATGCAGCGCTGCCGAAGATCTCCTACGTCAAGTCCATCGATGTCTATCTAGGAACGTGTTTCGTGATGGTCTTCGCCAGTCTACTAGGTGAGACTTTTCTTGACTACTACTTTATCTGCGAGGGAAAAGGGCTAACATTTTCAGTCTCACTAGGTTGCGCTACTAAAATACGAGGTCAACGTCAATAGTCCCAGAATTTTGCCAAATAGCCCTACAGGTTGTAGCCTGTTTTATGAAAATTATTAAAAAATATGATGTGAAGTATTTGATCAAATAGATAACCTGAAGTTATGGAAAGATTTGAGCAGGCTTACGTACCACTTCTTACATTGACGGAGAAGAAGATCTTGTAGGAAGATGCCAAACGGCACGGAGAGAAAAATATATTCATCAGTTCTACTAACATTAACCTCACGTTTCAGTGGCGCGATGTGGTGGACACTCGGGTGGACATAATGATAGTCCTCTTTGAAAATGTGTAGATAGTTAGTTAATGTATGTTGTGTATGAAAAGTTTTCGTGGAAGGTGGGTAGAATTTAGAATTTGATAAAACAAGTTGAGGATGTGATTTTGATCAAATTCTTCATTGTGCGGGCATTGGTCGCGTACAAGAAAAACTTGAACTCATCGCGCGATTGAATTTCATGGAAGCTCTCTGTGATGGAGGCTCGAATTTTGATATAACTATGGTTTAGGTAATTTTCAAAAACTAATAAGTCAACTAGGAATACTATACAAGCTGTTTTTGAACTGAGTACAATGTAGATTGTATAGGCTGAAAGACCTCTCGATCACTGCTTCCAAGATCTATTGTGATTACCTTATTCATTTTGAGTAATTTTATCCTAGACTTCTGATGAAGCCTAGAATTATCCAGAAGTTCGAATTTTCCACCTCAACAGGCGTCAGATAGCCTGTTTTAGGTGTATAAGACTGGAACCTTTGACACCACTAATCAAACCGCTTTTTTATACGCCTCGACAGGTGTTCTGCTCACTATGTTAGCATCTTCAAGAGAAGATCAAAACTCTTATAGGTGATTCGACCTTTGGCGGACTAATATATTACGTGAGCGAAGTATGTGTCCCCAACCCCATCTTTTTGAGATGATATCTCAGAATGCAGTGTCCTGTGAAAAGTGCTGTGATCAGCGACAGCTCCAGTTCGCTCAGATTGAGTAGCCCTTTGATTCGGTTTTGCAAATGGTTGATGAACCTTTTCGCTTGTCGTTGATCCGAGTTTTTTTTCAGTAGGAGAATTTTCCGATTTCTTTCCAATTCCTGAGCTCTACCATCAGGTGAAATTTGCTCGTCCCACAGAAAGACTCAGAATCAAAGAATGCAGACTATGATGCAAATTTCTTTGCAAGGCGATCAGCTGCCTCATCTCATTTGATTCGTTTATGCCTTGGAGAAGCTGTTGAGCTGTAAATTATCCTGGCGCACGAAACAACAATTCGATTCGGTGTGGGTTAAAAAAAGACGATATCATCGTGGCATAATAGAATGTTTCCATCCGTGTTTTATTGATGCCTGGTCAGACCCAAAGTTGGTCTCAATGTACCCACTACGCATTTATATGTGCCGACGCCATTGTAATCATCTAAAATGAAAATACCCATAAACTCAACAACCCCGAACACAGATGATATACCTACCCCTGCCGAACATCCATTCATATCCTTCATAAAGAGATTCTTTTATCGCGTCGCATAAAATTGTTGCTTGCGCCTTTCTCTCATCTCTTCCTTTGACCTTTAACATTTGCTCGACCGGGATTACTGAAGGGAGTGTACCTTGTATTTCTAGGGAGATTTCTCGCTTTTCCATCTCCAAGTCCCTCGTTGTTCAGCCCGTCTATTTGAATATTCAAGAAATTGAGTGCAACATAAATGATTTCTGTGGAATTGTTTTCAATGGAGGGTATGCATTCCATTCAGTTCTATTACATTAATGATGGTTGGAATATTTAAAAGCTTGGATGAGGAAAATGGATACAGAATTTGTCAGCATTCTGCAAGCTGCAAGACTTATTTGATTTGCTTTGTCAGAAACAATATAAACTAGATGGATATAGATACGAACAAGATTTTCTTCTACAGTTGAGGAAAGGTTTTCTTGTTATTTTAAAAATTTGAGAATGAGGAATTGCAACTTGTGAAGCCCGGTCATTGAAAGAGTTTTTTAACTGGACCTAGAGTTTTCGTGAATTTTCATTTCTGCAAGACTTGATGGAATAGTACATTATTCATCAAGGAACAGAAATGCAACATTTTTTCCAAGGTGCGATTTGTAGCTCGAGGGCGAAGCCCGAGAGATACGAAGCACCAAGGGAAAAATATCATTCTGTCCAGAGGTGTATATACTATTTTTCACGGCGGCGAAAACACAAAAATTCAGAGAGAATGAAAATTTGGTCAAAGTGTTTTGACCTAATTAGTAGTAGTATAGTTTGTGGAATTCGTATCTTGACAACATGTATCTTGTTGAAAACCCATGGTGACAGCAAATATCAAATTGAAATTCATGACAACATCTTTGAAAATGGTTAACGGTTTATGGAACAAGAAACTATTGATACTGCTTCTGCAGTGATTCTTATCTTGCTACCAGAGAAGGGTGTTCCGAAAAGGAAGCGCAGAGCTATGCGGAAAATGTAAAGTTGGTATAAACTCCCTAGGGAGAAACTATATCACATTACCTCCCTAGGAAATAATAGGAGACTTCTGCCCCTCTTTTGTTACCAGAGAAACTAACTTCTACTCCCGCCGGCGAAAAAATATGCTTATTCTAGGACTATAACAGAGGATAGCTCTTGTTTTCCTGTGTTCGATGAATCATACTTCGTATGACATCAATTTCATTTTCGTATATGATATCACAATGACTTCATTGTGTTACTATTTCAGAAAATCTCATCTTCCATGAAATGTCAAATTTCGAGAAATGACAGCTCTGTCTGATAGATGAGTATTACTTAAGAGGAAATCAGATGGCAACAAGCAGAAGAAATTACAAATTCTGCTGTTATCTGTTAGAGCTGTTGAAAAAGTATAGTATGTTGATCGCACGGAATGGTAATGTTTCACTAGTATGATTTGCAGCATTAGCCTGCCAGCTTTGCAGACGATAAATTACTTTCCATACTGCAGTATTTTCTAGAATTCCCAATACTTCCCAGAATACTAAAAAGTTACGACAAAAGCAGCCTTGGGAACCAACAACCTATATTCAACGCCACCAAAACATTGTCAAGTATAACACCATTCCCACCAAGACTACTATGTCTATGCTTGATATTTCCATCAGCATAATTCTTTCATGAGGAAATCATGTCCGATCCATCGCGAAAGCTGCTTCACAAACTCGAATTTTTAGTCCGTGCGAAAATCTACATTACATCTCAACAGCTTCTCATGCGACCTAGAAAGCACATATATACGGTCAGCTTCAGAATACTGTCCTCCATTTAGATATGGGGTGCAGAAGAGTCATTAGCCTGATGGTGGGTGAGGCCACACTCACTTATCCTTTGACCTCATTAGAACACCATAGAAAAGTCAGCGACGTTTCACTTTTATACAGATTTTTCCACGGTAAATGTTCCTCAGGAATCTCTGCTATGATTTCATCACAAGCAATACCAGTCAGACGAACTCGACAGGCCCAGTCAGCATATCCTTTTGTTATCACCATGAAAATATGTCGAACAAAACTCTTCCGTCTATAGAACGGCAATGCTTTGGTATTCTTTGCCAGTGGAAATATTCCAAAGAGCTTATAACCTCCAAAAGCTGAGAAATAAATTCAACACCGACCTCCTCCTTAGGTACACAGCACGATTGTTTTCGAAAATCATAGGAATTTCCTTTCGTGCGCTCCAAGAGCTAAAAATGAAGAGTGATCAACAACAAGCATTTTCTTCTAATGGATATTGATGTGGGTTCGAGGGTTTTGGTCCTTCAATAATTATATGTACCTTATAATCATCCTTAATTTACATTGATCAATGATTTTTCATTTCTTTACAGAGTACGCAACAGTGGGCTACATGGCAAAACGGATCCAAATGCGAAAACAGAGGTTCTTGGCCATTCAAAAGATGGCAGAGCAGAAGAAATTGAATGTAGATGGTGGTCCAGATGACCATGCTCCCAAACAAACAGTGAGTAGTCGTAAAATAGGCAATATTTCAGTTTTATCAGTATATTTTGAACAAGAGATCGGTTCTATCTAATGGAAGAAGTACTTTGTATTCACGCAATCGTAATCCAATTATTTTTTTGAATTATGTCAGATCGGAATCAGGAATTTGAAACCACTTCGAGATTCAAAAGATAAATAGAAGTGCTCAAATTGAATTCTGGAATTCTCATTCTACCGTGCTTTTCTACAGAGTCCCCCTCCCCTTTAATTTTTTGAACGGGTCAACGAAAAAAATTGAAACTTCAGGTGATGGAATTGATGCATGAATAGTATATTTTGAAGTAAAATTGATTGCTGATGGCGACTGGTTGCCATTTGGGGAAGAATCAAATGGTAAGGAGGTTCTTGTGATACATCTTCTTGTAGTTCCTGGCAAATACTTAACAACCATAGAATATTAAGTCAACATCTTTGCCTACTCCAAAATGGCAGAACATTTGATAGTTGCTTGAATACAAACACTTCAATATGGATTTTGTATTCCAACAAGATGGATTACCACCACATTACTCCAGACTAGGCCAGACCAGTTAGAAATATTTTTAAAATACCTTTCCTGGCCGTTGGATTGGTCCTTGAAGTCCTACGGAATGGCCAGCCTGCTCGTCAGATTTGGCACCTTGAGACCTTTTTTATGGGACTATTTGAAACAAAATATGTATCAATTATGAATATTTGTAGAAATATCAACGTAGCTGTACTCGAAAATGTTCGGCGTGAAATATCGAATAGGCTTTTCTTATGCCAAGAAGTTCAAAGCAACCATTTCGAGCAGTAACTCAACGGATTTCCACAAATAATGTAGTAAACTTCCATGTCTTCAGGCAATTATTGAATATTCCGCCATTTTAAAGTAGCTAAGCGCAGATACGGCCTGTTCTAGAATACTGTTCCCACATATGGGGTTCAGCACCGAAACATACGCTGATGCTCTTAGATTCCATCCAGAGAAGAGCCATCCGTCTGGTGGGTGACGCCACACTCACTCGCTCTTTGACATCATTGAAACACCGTAGAAAGGTCGGCGACCTTTCACTTTTCTATCGATACTTCCACGGGAAATGTTCTTCGGAAATCTCTGCTATCATCCCTTCACTAGCAATACCAGTCAGACGAACTAGACAAGCCCAGTCAGCACATCCCTTCGTTGTCAACCTCGAAAGATGCCAAACAGCACTTTATCAAAACTCCTTCATCCATAGAACGGCTGGGCTCTGGAATTCATTGCCTGGGAAAGTATTCCCAACAACATTTAATGTCCAGAAGTTCAAAAAAAATTCCAATACCTACCTCCTATCCCTAACCTCCCTAGGAACGCACGATGTTCTTTGAACATTATAGAGATTCCCTCTCGTGCGCTCCAAGCGTTAAAAAAAATAAAAAAAAAAAGGTGAAGATATTAACTTCATATTCTGGGGTTGTGAAGTATGGTCAGGAACTTCGAGAAGATATATCACAAGACCTCCCTTTCCATTTGATTTGAATCCAAAACATAGTATTCATGCATCAATTTCATTAAAACAAGTTTCAATTCTTTTCGTTGACCAGTTCGAAAAATCAAAGCGAAGCACTTATAATCTTGTATAAATAGGTAATAGAACATCGAGTTATCATTGGAATAGAGAAGTATGTCTATTTATATTGAATATTCCGTTCTACTCCATTCGTCATGGGATATTTTCAATATTATTTTTCACTACTCACTCTGATGTGAAGTTATTATCGAAATCGTATTCGCCTTTCGTCATCTTGACCATATTATATTGTACTTATTGTGTGTATATCCAATCTCTGAAGCTTGGAATTTATCTTGTGTTTGGCTACAGCATGAATAGATTTCGAGGATCAAAAGGAAGTCGATTGCCCTGTGGCCTAGTTTATTTCCGGGAATAGTGGCGGATTATTTCCAATGAGCACACTAACTCTTTGTTTGGAAAATATATCATCCATCATAACGTTGGACGGCGAATAAAGAAAATAACCCTTCGCGAAATTGCTCAGTCTTTGGCCAGATCTGAGAAATCTACAAGAGATTCTAGATGCACTCGCTGCAGTGCGAAATATGGATCGGTATCTATGAAGGAACAACAATTGTCCATTTGAATTTTATAATTATCATTGCTAGATTATTCTGTTGATTGGATTGATTGCAAGGTCTGTCTATAAAGCTGATTGGTGCTTGCAATTAAGCTCAGGATACTTCAAGCGGGCTCAGATGATCCACTCGAACAGGTAAGAATATTGCCAAGTAGTTAGCCCCGAAGTATAGCCCAGCCCGTCCCCTATACCTTTCTCCAAACCACGTGACCCTACTAGCCAATCAGAGGCGACGCCCACTGACCGCAAGCTATGCCTGGCTCCGAGCGATCACGGAACACAGAAATACCACGGAAATGTCACGGAACACCACGTTAATGTCACGGAAACGTCACGGAAATATCACGGAAACGTCACGGAACAGAGGAACGATTCCGTGACATTTCCGTAGTGTTTCGTGAGGTTTCTGTGCTCCGTGATGGCTCGTCGTAGCCGGACGTAGCTTGCGGTTAGTGGGCGTGACCTCAAACCAAATGCTGGTCTCTCATTAGCTAGTCGGGTCACATGGTTTGGAGAAAGGTGTAGGAAATAAGGAGCTAACTACTTTTCCAACACTGCCATTTCGATTGAATGTCGCAACATGGTATGTAGTTGAGTTACTATAACGAGCGAAATGATTGAAAGTTGCACTTTCCTGTGCGGAAATTTTTGCACTCCATTTCGGAATTTGATAATAAGATGAGAATCATGCCATTATGCCTCAATCTGAGCCAAATTCACGGTAGAGCAATTTATTTGCTGCTATTATTCGGGGCACACTTCCGTCATGTGATAACTAGTTGAAAAGAACAGCAAATAGAAGGAGATAATGTCCTCTTTGCGAATATCCAAATGTGCCGTGATTCAAAGTGATATAAATTAGTGGTAGAGCGTCAATATTTCCGAGAATCGGATATCATCTTTGGGATTAAGGGATGGCACAGATAGGTTTTGGGGATCTACCATTCAATTGGTATCGGATGATGGTATCATTTTCATCGAGTTATAAAATCGCCAAATTGAGTGCAAATCACCGCACAGGAAAGTGCCATTTTTCAATCATCCTGCTCAGGATAGCGATTGGCACAGGTGCCGTTCGATGAAATACAATATTTATACATGCCTTTGGGACATAGGTACATCATTATACGGTATGAAGCGACGTTCAAAACTTGCATAAAAATATCTCGCAGTGATTATTTTATTGATACTCATTCATTGATTGGGCTCTGCAACATTATTCACGTTAGAGTGAAGTCTAGATCCATTCACTCAATATTCGATGTTGATACTTCATATATTTTTGAATGTGGCAACGTTGCTTCATTGCTTATATGGTGGTAACTTCTGGTAAGAGTTCAAGATTAAGTAAGAAAACCCGAGTTGATATCTCACTCAATATTCGATGTTGATACTTCATATATTTTTGAATGTGGCAACGTTGCTTTATTGCTTATATGGTGGTAACTTCTGGCAAGAGTTCAAGATTAAGTAAGAAAACCCGAGTTGATCGTGCTTTGAATATTTCAATGAAAATAGAGGTTTTTGCTGTGGATTTACTTTCAACTTCGATAAATTTCTTCAATGGTACCACACGACAAATATCCCTGAGATATCCAGTTCGCAGAGTTCAACTGAATTCTCTATATAACAAAAAAACAGATTTTTTCAAAAATTGTGACGAACATTTTGTTTTGAATACAATTCTGTATAGGACTTCTCATCGATCTGTTTTTCTGTCAATTTTGGAAAAGCTCATCTAGGAAATAGCAGATGAGAGACACTCATTGTTCATCTAATTAATTGAGTTAAGAAACAATAATTATTGATCAACTTTGGACGGAGTTGCTCCCTAATTGATAACGAAGGAAAATCAGCCAACAAACTCACGGTTGCCTTGATCAGCAAATAGAACAAATAACTCCATTATATAATGTACCTACCTATGTGATGGCATCTCAAACAGTGTGAATTGGTATTCGTCATCAGCAGAAACATGTTCATAAAATCAGAGGTAAGCATCAAGGTGTGAAAGTCTATAATGAACTGAAATTTGAAGTGATAAGTGGCATCAGTTCATTGTTTTTATATCTTTGGATTTCGAGAATCTTGGAATATTTGTAATCACTCAAGCTGAAGCTATACACAAGCGAACACCCTCTTTGAATTCGAGATCGTCATCTTCATATATAGATTTCACATACTCCACATGAAGAAGATATTGGAAGTGAGTCGAACCATTCAATCCAAAAAACTCGGTGTGTATTTGTGTGACCTGTCGTTGACATGTAATCAGTATTTTTGAAGTTTCTGCTGATTCAGAGAATAGGAAAATAGGATATGGAAGATTGTCCATATCTCAATTTTGGATGCATCTGAGAATATAGATCATTAATTAGGGTAAGTTCGAAAATGAATGAATTGAAATTAGCAGTAGGAGAATTAGAATTCGAAAGCCAATAGATATATTTTATAATGAAACATTCGATACGTTAGTGAATCATTCAATACAATGAATGATCAACATATTGTGTTCTTTTCAGCCCTTTGGATATATGAATGCGTCTATAAAGCGGAATTGGAGGATTCAATATATAGGTCAACTCTTCTGGAATTTGTGGCTTTCACTGAATGGATGGAAGGCACGTCAGTTAAAATATTTGCGAATTATATCAGAAATGGGCTACAAATAGCTTCATTATTTCAAACGAATCACCCTGTATTTTATAACATAATCAAAACTACAATTCCTTCGCATTTAAATTCTATTCCCAGAAATCGTATCTCTAGTCTATCGAAAGCGCTTCGGATCCGTGTTGAAGTATTAGGGATTCTATCTGAAAACTTCTTTTGAACATATTGAGTTCAACAACATTATTTTTTTGACTCCATTTTTATCAGTTCAACATCTCTGACACTTCACCTAAAAAAAATACTATTTTATGGAAATCTTATCGTATGTGAAGTTTTTTACATTGTGATACTTCCTTTGATCCGAGTTTCTGTGATTGTTAAAATTATTTAGAAACGGGTACCGGTGACTCATATCAAGCAATCAAATAAATGGTGATGTTCCTTCAGAAATAACGGAGCTATAGCCCACTTTGGGTATATCCAGAAATCATAGCATTACAGCATTTATACAATCGACGATATCCCCAACTTTCAGGAAAATTCACCTATTCAATCTTTCAATCCGACAAACCAACGGTTTTCAAGAATCAATAGATACTAGCCTTCATAATCATCATAATAGAACATGGTCTTGGAAGTTTGGAATTGCATGTAAGAACCACTGAAAGGCTTTTTTTTTAGAAAAGAAATGAACAGTGCTGAAAAAACTATAATTTGAAGTATATCATTTGGAACGTAGTTAACTCAAAGCCAAATGGAAAAATGTTTGACGTAATTTGATTATTATAGTAATGTAGGTATAAGCCGTACTAATATATTCACTAATTCAAAGAATCTGTATCTACTCTTTGGAAATATATAGTAGGTACCTACATTATATTTTCATATCTTGCTTGGTATGCATTATATCAACTCTTTGTCATAACCTGTATAATATAATTTTAGGTCAAACATATCAGTTGAACAGAAATCGACGATTTGTGGCATGCAAGAATTCAAAAACTTATGACTTTCAGCTTCAGTATAGACCAATCAAAATGATTTCAACTGCGTTGCGGTCAATTCGAATCTCCATTATATTGAAAGTATTTTTCCAGATGGTGTCAAATAAAGTCAGTTCAAAATTTCCAACATGTCCTTCACGTGATACTCTTTGACCTTCTTATGATATGAGTAAGGTAATGATGTCGCAAGTTTGTTTTAATCGTATGGTGTCCAAGAAAATTTGAAATTCTGCTATTTTTTATTTTTAGCCCTCTCAGAAGTTTGGTACATATCACGTCCTCAAAGTCTCGATATCAACTCTATTAATATATGACGAGAATAGGTACCGCTTTATAGAAAAATTCAGCAGCCCCTGAATTATAAGTTGTATAACTCGAAATTACCTCTAGTTTTCAAAATTCATCAACATGCCAGAAGTATGAGCACTGGTATGAGAGTGATTCGAATTATAACCGCCAAATGTAGAATCGTTCTAATTGGTCCAAAACTGCATCCCTATCGGAAGTCAAGGCTGTTCGAATTCCGGTATAGTTCCAGATCACCCATCCACCAGATTTGAAAACTAAGCCTCCCACTAGAACCGAATTTGTATGCGCTAAAATCACTGGATGGTGTATGCGCATGTCCGGAATTGTCAAGATTATAAGTGGCAATCATTGAACTCAATGTAAATACCTGCAAGGGCAAAATTGAAATTTACTTTATTCTCACAGAATTAGTGAGTCGAATGAATACAGAATTGAAATTATATAATTTCAATAAAAAGTCAAAATATATTGTACAGGTTGAGCTAAGAGGAGTTTTTTGAATGGTATTGAGTACCTGAGGTCTATCTTGAGCCTAATATATGAGTACTTTATATCCCTAGCGATTTAAAGCACCCTTCAAATGAAGTGCATGAAAGTATATTGATAGTTGACTTGAACAGTCTTCTGGTTCAAATCATGTTTTTTTTTTCAATGTTACCTTGTAGGTGTGTTATCTCAATGAATTGAAAATAAAAATGTAAATGTCAGTGACGTTTGTATAACAGTAATGTAATGATACATAATTAGTACAGAAAGTAAATCGAATAGGTCTTCTATTCTCCTGCAAGTTTATTGTAATAATAATTATACCAGATTTCAATGATTGTTACGACTGTCACTAAATAAATTCAGATGGATTGTATAAATTCTCTATTCTTTTTATCCACCAGTTTTCCAATTTCTCCAACCACAATTAAGCTGTTGTCAGTGCTCTAAATAACAATTTTCGTAATTTTCGTATATACTTACTGATCATTCATCCCTAATTTCATGCCTATGTGTTAGTATACATTCTCTGTAGCATATAACTCGATCACGAGCAGAGTCGGTATCTTTCTGTGGATTCTGCCATTTTGTTCAGTTTTGGAACAATAACTCGGGATTTGGAATTAATTGATATAACTGAAAAAGTTCGAATTGTGTATTGAAGTTTAAATAACGAAACGTACGCTATGGAAATTACTGATGAGAATAGTTATTAAGTAGCCAAAGATTATAACAACCAAATCCGATATTTCCGTATCGGCCGTGTGTCGTTCAAGACTTTTCATGATCCCGCTAACATCATGGAATTACGAAAATGATTCTACATCAAGGATTTGAGTAACAATCCAACATTTATTCAAGTAACTGTCGAACTCATTCTAGGTCTCAGGCACAACCGAGAAGTTCGTTTCCATTGAGCTTTCAATTCAACAATTCAACACGATAAATTGTAAAATATAATCAATGATGTTTCTGTGACATTCGCAATATATACCGGGTGTCCCATTTTAATCTTTATTTGGAAATTTCTCGAAATGTATGCATCTGACAAAAAAGATTGCCGAATAAAAGTTGTATGGTTTGGAGGGGGACGTCTGGTTATAAAACAAGTTTCACCCCCTGACCACCAGGGGAGTGAGAAATAGAGGTAACATTGAAATCTTTAATGGAAACCCCTAATTTTGATTGCAGATTCTGGAAGAGCTTCAAAAACTATGAAGCTTTTATCCGGGAACTTCTTTTTTATTTTAACAAGATGGCGCTGCAATCTTAAAAAAACAATATTTTACTATTTAGTTTGTAGTTGGGAGACTTTTTATCATTAAAAAGATATCAAGCAGTTCGAATTAACACATTTCAACACCCTGAAGACGAGGAAGAGTGTAGGGTGTGAAATTCCCAGACAAACGCCGTTGGAGTGATATTTTTATTGCAAATTCACACGGTAAGTGATAATTTTCATTGTATGGTAACACCATGTAAAAACACTTTAAATCTGTCACTGTCTCGCGATGTCGGATTATTTACCGAACGAGATTGTAAATATGATTATTTGTGTCGAACGTGCGGAGGGTAATTTCCAAGAGGCTGAGCGCGTATATCGACGTCAATTTCCGGATCGAAGATGTCCGTCCCAAGTTACCATCAAGTCTCTTGTACAACGTGCCCGCGAAGGTCAGCTCACCCGGAAAAGAAAAAAGTCGGTTTTTGACGACGTCGTCGATCCGGATGCGAGGCTGCTCAAGGTGTTTTTTACGATCGCAGCGCCATCTTGTGAAAATAAAAAAAAAGTTCCCGAATAAAAGCTTCATAGTTTTCAATGCTCTTTCAGATTCTGCAATAAAAAATAGGGGTTTCCATTAAAGATTCCAATGTTACCTCCATTTCTCACTCCCCTGGGGGTCAGGTGGTGAAACTTGTTTTATAACCAGACGTCCCCCTCCAAACCATACAACTTTTATTCGGCAATTTTTTTTGTCAGATGCATACATTTCGAGCAATTTCCAAATAAAAATTAAAATGGGACACCCGGTATAATCACTGACATTCCAACTTACCTTCAATTCGGTACACTATACTTATTCACCTCATTCGTGCATGCAAAATACATTCAGGCTTTCGCCTTGAGATGTCCTTCATTATCAAAGTAGATTGGCGAAATGAGACAACTGATTAGAATGCTGGTTATAGCAGTTATAATGCCGAATAATCCGGTTCCGAATTCCTATAGGACTTGGAAAGAGAGTGTGAATACCTCTGTTTCATACACCGGAAAGAAGGAATCTTTGAATCAATCAACATTCAATATAAATAAATAAATGGATAAATGAGTCTTATAATATGCGCGATAAAATAAAACCTTGAATTGAATACGATTTTATGAACACTGTCTCATTCAACCAAACACATTCCTGAATTGTTGAGAAAGATATACTGAATGGACTCAAATAATTATACTGCTTTATTCAAAATGACGAGATATTGATTCAATGAAATATTTCGTCGATTCTGGAAAAACTGTATTCCAATGTGATTATTCTGTACAACCGAATTCAGTATTGACTCGGAAGTTCAAAAACGAAAGAGGAAGGCTACGATAACTAGCAAATTACTAATAATGTCTTCAGCTGATTCGGCTTACTAAGCATCGTGAGTAGTTAAATTTGACTACTTGAATTATGAGTTCGACTAGGTCAGCTGCTATAACAGAAACGGATACCCCGACTACCTATATATGTGAAATGACTTTAATGTAGTCTCATACGATGTGGAAAGATCTCCATCTAGTGGCAAATACAACCTGCAACTCTCATCAAATGAACAAAATGTTTATCATTGATTCAATATTGGCATCATTTTTGGATCAATACTATTTGCGTTCGAGATATAGTCATATATTCTGTCGATCCAAATTCGAATACATCCTTGATAAATCTGCTTGATTCACCTAAAATAATCCAAACATGAACAATTTTTTGAAGCAATCAATTTTTTTCTCGTGCAAAAAGGAATGGGTACCCACCTTCCATCCTTCCAAATCATCCTAGTACGCTGATTCCGATCTGGGTACTTGTTAGTGGGGACCTTTGTTCCAGGAGGTGCGCTTCAAGGTTCACGACCCCAAGGCGCACAGCAAGGGTGGTACCCTCGAGAGTACCGTGAACGGGGGCCGCGGAAGCACCGCCGACAGGGGCATACCGCCCGACGAAGAGGCGGGAATGCCCATCCCCCACCACATCATCCACCCCAACAAGGACATCAACAAGCTGTTGGGCGTCACGCCCTCTGATATCGACAAGTACTCCAGGATAGTGTTTCCCGTGTGCTTTGTGTGCTTTAACCTCATGTACTGGATAATCTACTTGCACATCAGCGATGTGGTGGCTGATGATCTGGTACTGCTAGAGGTGGACAAGTAAACCGGGGGTCGAGGAGGAATTGTGCTGCTGACGAATTATTGTTCTCGTTTTTACGATAATTTGATACCTCCTTATAATCAAAAGTGCACTTTGACGAACCATGAAACCTCTACATCATTCTCTCTGCGATATAAAGGCAAATTCCTATTGAAATGAAGCATTGAATAACTCCTTCACACATCCTCACTGCTTGTTCTAAATACTCTCAATTTCTATGAGAAACCTGAATTACTGAACATGTTTGACGTGGCATAAATCAAACTGTTCGTGATATAAATACATTTTTTTATCAGAATGAAGCGTTGAATAACTCATCCACACATCTACACTACTAATTAATCATACTTCCAATAACACTATGAGAGTTCTGGAGTTCCATTACGTCAATCCCTCATGGAAACCATACTGATGCGGATTCTCATCATGGTGAAGCATTGACTGATTCCTCCACGCATACCCGCTGATTGTGATGTTTATCAAGGGTCAACAACCCCATCAAGCATTGCTCCTTCTGATGAATTTAATATCATCTCATTCGTGCAATAATCATTTGGAATGCATATTCAAATGTCATCTGGTGATTCTGCATACTACGAATGCAGATTCTCATATAATAAGAGTGAAACTATAATATATTATCTGTCGTGACAAAAACACAGTTTGACGTGATGCGTGATATTTCTGCCGGAAAATGAGGAAGGTATCTCTAATCCACTTTTGCTTCGAGTTTGTTAGTACGAATTCAATCAGGATGAAACATTTCTTTATTCCTCCACGCACACTTATTCGAATGTGAGACCATGCACTGATAAAACAATCTACTGAGATACACTTTTGTACTGTGAATTTTACTACCAAGCGCCCAAATTTTGTTTTTTCGAGGTTCAATACCCTATAAGATGAACTGATCATGAAGAAATACTCATTCTTCTTATGAATAATTTCTCAAGAGTTTTTCGAAATGCGCTTTTTCTTTTATTGAAATCATGCACTACTCCACCCTACCCTGTCTATAAAAAACACTTATGATATTATGGTGAAAATAAACAATATTCGTATTTTCTAATGACTCAGACACAAGACTTGAGTGTATCCATTATCATTATTATCCACAAGCCGTATCATACCTAACTTTTTTCGCTTCCATTAACGAGCTCCCAATATACATGTGATAATGTTTTTGCTTTGAAACTACTCAGATTTCACTTTTATTTAATAGAACAAAAAACATACTTCGAGCTGCACATCTTCTCCAACAAGTACCTACTTGTACATAGTCCTCGAATGTCATTATGGTTATTTTGAAAGCATTATCATCGTCATCCATTGTAGTTCACGCACAACATAAACGACTTGTTGAAGTCAGTGCACGTTGTTCAATCTGCCTTCCAAACTATCACCTTCACACCTGAGGTATTATGTTATTGAAACATTATTTGTCTGGTATCTATAATTATCAATAACAAAGCCATGACTGTAATACAAACCATGGGGACAATATGATATGGTGTGCTACGACGTATCATTGCAGACATAACTTGCGAGTAGCAGGGAAACCATCAATAATGGTTGAGACTGGTGAAAGTATAGACTGGCAGTCACGTTATTCGCAGAAAAGACGAATTCTGAAGATGTGACTAGCACACTATATCAAGTATATTTTTGTCATGGTAGCAACCTCACTGGGTTAGCTGCAAAACAAATAAGTTGAGAATAATATGATGAAGAAGTTCATTTCAATACTGTCTGTAGGTTAATCGAGGAGGTGGTACATTCATTTTACTTGGTTCTTTTGGATTTTCTCTCCTCGTTTCTATAAAATAAAAGTATTCGTATTATTTCAATATATTTGTAGAGGGACAAATCAGATGATTTGCCCCAAAATGTCACTGCGTTTAACAAATTTTTTTTTATCAGGGAGTCTAAAAGAAAAATCCAGTAGCTTGTCAGTGACAATTTGTTTGAAAAAATTTTCTAAGGAAAGAAATATAGATAGATATATTGAAAAAATATCGAATTTGTACTTATCTTTGGACGTTTCGGGACCGATTCTGCTCCCGTTCTCAACATGTAAATGCAAATTATTTTTCTTTGAAAGTTGTGCTGCGTATATAGTTTGACACTTTTCAGTATCATACTGATGTTGGCATATGAATGAGTGATTGTAGACTAAAATCACTCATTCATATGCCAACATCAGTATGACACTGAAAAGTGTCAAACTATATACGCAGCACAACTTTCAAAGAAAAATAATTTGCATTTACATGTTGAGAACGGGAGCAGAATCGGTCCCGAAACGTCCAAAGATAAGTACAAATTCGATATTTTTTCAATATATCTATCTATATTTCTTTCCTTAAGAAATTTTTTCAAACAAATTGTCACTGACAAGCTACTGGATTTTTCTTTTAGACTCCCTCATAAAAAAAATTTGTTAAACGCAGTGACATTTTGGGGCAAATCATCTGATTTGTCACTCTACAAATATATTGAAATAATACAAATACTTTTATTTTATAGAAACGAGTAGAGAAAATCCCAAAGAACCAAGTAAAATGAAGTTCATTTCAAACTTTATAAGTACCTACATGAATAGACACATATATGATGTTACTATATACGCTCAACTCATTTGTTCTGCAATTATTTGTATGTACGTTTTCTTTAGGAACGTATTGCAATAGAAACAACACGTTTACGAACTCTTTTAATCATCATATGATAATTTTGTCAAATTGTTTCTTCTTTCACAAAATATCTGATATTTTCTAAGAAGAGTTTGGTTATTGTATACCCATGTACATATATATGCAGTTCATTTTAAAACTCTCCGCACAGAGCTGAAATAAATGCAATCCACACCCAATATGGGGAAAATGAATCAGTTCATACTTTCCATGTAAACTTCAACAATAAGAAAATATAATTACAGATATTGTCGGTTTTCCCGGTACTTGATAACAGCTCTGCGTGTGAATGATAGCAACAAATTGAAATATTTAGATAAACTCCCGATCGAACTTTATAAGTTGGTAATAAATCAAAATATTTTTCCGCAAATATGTTTCGAAAGAACATGGGAATGATCATATTGGACCGGCTTCATTTTCTATTCATTGCTTATGATTGCTCACACATTTGTTCCAATGGCAAGTGGCAAAATATTCATACTGAATTCTATACACCAAAAGTCAAGTGGAGCTCGAGTAGAACTGTACTTATATTTCCTTATTTCTGAAACTCAAAAAACTATGAAATTCGTTCTCCTGCAAGGTGAATTATTATGCAAGCCGCTGATTATTATCACGGTGAAACGAGATTCTAAATATGTAATATAAATATAATTGTATTTATAATAACTGAAAATATATACAAAATTGATAGGTAGGACACACGCTCGTAGTCATAAGAATACCTACCTTGTGATAGTGACACTGACTTTCAATATTATTTAGATCGACCCGACATATGAAAGTATTAAGTTCTGTGGTATTAATGCTTGATCAGAGAAATGCCTCAAAACGGAAATACATTCACAGATGTATTTTCCTCTTAAAATCGATAATTCTATGTTCACCAAAGAAAAATAGAAAAGCGAGTGATGCAAGCTAGCTATAGAAGACTGATTCCTAACATTGGATGTAACATCATTTGTATAGTAATTTGAATAAATGGACAGCATTATCAGAAACATTTACACCTAGATTTCGATAATATTCCATTGGTAACATGAATAATTTATGTTTTGAGGCATTACTCAAATCATCTTCCTTGTTCGTTCACCTGTCTAGTGTTTGATAATCTTAGGCACTCAGCACAGAGCAAGATTCTGGAATCATACACAGAGGATGAAACTGATCTTTCTTTTTATGAAAACAGCACGCTGTATCTTGCACCTTCAATTGCGTCAGAGTTTCGAGAACTCTACATTCTGAAAAAAAGTAAATTACCAACAACGGGGCAATCAACATAGCAAGGCAACATTGTGAATTCAGAAGTGTTATCGTCAATTTATTGTCAAAGCATTTAATTGATAATTGATGAGATTAGGATTTTCAAGATACTATCATCCTGTTCCAAGGCGAAAGTATTCATACTTTCAATGCACATTCACATGCAACTTTTAGAGGCCTGGTATTTTGGATGGCCAGAGCTTGCTAGTGTCAGTGACGGTTGCCTTGTTAGATAGGGGTAGGCCAGGAACCACGGTGATATTTCAACAACAGTGAACGAATAAGCAAGTCTAAAGTCTTCCATTACCCAACAAATAGGTCAGATAATATCGACATGCGGAGTCAACCCGAATGAATCATTTTGGTATAATTTCAATCTCACAACTGAGAACACTATGAATCTAGATGTAGTCAAATACATTACTCACATAGTTGGTGATCGGTGGTTCGATGATTCTGCAATAGTCATATCTTTCCACAAAATTCCGACTACTCTGAAATAATCTAATGATCAAGTCATGTTGCATCGATCTACCATCAGCAGCAGTAGTTGCAATTAATAATATGAAGAAAACGGAAAATACAATAATAGGACAAACCTCTTATGAAATTGAATAAACTATTCAATATGGTATCTACTGAACGTTGTTGCATCAACAACTTATAGACACAATTTGCAGACATCTATGATACCATGAAACATCATTTCCATACCAGACCAGTTCACCAATGTTTTTTTTTTTCGAGCTCACAGCTGAATATGAGAAGGATATACAACTTGGATGAACTGTCGTCCATGTGAAGGTTAACAATGAGAACAGAGATTTTGAGCAACACCGGCAACCAATAAAAACAATTTCCTGTGTATTCTCTTGGTGTCGACGTAGACGTACGTGCCTTGAGGTACCTGATGAGCTGAATTATGTGAGCGATTCAAGAATGCGATTCCATGAAATATTAATTCAAATATTGTCGGTATCTATTTCATTGAATTCCTGGCGTACCCTTATCTACATTGCAAAAAACTTTTGCTCACTATCAAATATTCTAAATAATGAGGAAGAGTTGTATGTATTATATTTGAAACATTCCAATTATTTATCAACTACGTATTGCGTAGGTATAATATACTGTTCGGCGTTTTTATTTGAATAAAAAATTAAGAAAAAATTAGAGTGTTTTTATATATTTGGTTGCCGAACAAAATTTCACGTGATTATTCCTCAACATACCTTATTCACCATATAGTGCAGGAACTGATATGTAATGTACTGATGCGTTGTTGTCACAAATCTAGTAATAAAGTTTGAAATGACAATTCCACCTCACATTCGTTATTGTATCTGCTTCTATCTCATATATATCTGTTATGTATCTGCTATGTATCTGATACGTATCCACTTTGTGTCTGGCACATATCTGTTACGTACCTGATATGTATTTGATATGTATGTTATGTAATTGGAATACTGATTCCAAAATTGATGACAAAATCAACAAAATTGGTGATCAATCACTGGTTCCCAGAAAATTGTAACCTCCTGCTAGCTATTTAGGTACTTGTTAGTGGGGACCTTTGTTCCAGGAGGTGCGCTTCAAGGTTCACGACTCGAAGGCACACAGCAAGGGTGGCACCCTCGAGAGCACGGTGAACGGCGGCCGCGGGGGTGACGGCGACAGGGGTGGCCCCCCCGACGAAGAAGCAGGAGCGTCCATCCCCCACCACATCATCCACCCGAACAAGGACCTCAACAAGCTGTTCGGGATCACCTCCTCGGATATCGACAAGTACTCCAGGATAATGTTCCCTGTGTGCTTCGTGTGCTTCAACCTCATGTACTGGATAATCTACCTACACATCAGCGATGTGGTAGCCGATGATCTGGTACTGCTAGAGGTGGACAAGTAAATTGTGGGGATTGTGCTGCTGACAAGTTGTTTTTTAATCAAACGATCATTTCGCTGTCATTATGCATCGTCATATTATCATTAGAATGTTTTGTTTTCCTCATTCGTAGTTCTGCAGCAAAATAATTATTGTTATGAGTTCTGTTGTAACACTGATCAACTCATCCACTGATACCCACTGGAGAATTGCGATTAAATGAATGAATTTTGGTGATCAGGAAGATCATTTCCACCAGATATATTCGTGATTTGGATGTGTTTCATCGAAACCTGAGACATTTTCCTTCAGAATACTGCAGGAACGTATTATTGTTACAAGTTTACATACCTGAACCCATACAAAAATCATTTACTCACTTCATCACAAATTTCCAATGATTTCGACGTTAACATTGAATGAATATCTTTAAATTTGCGAGACAATAGTTCACGCTCAAATGATTATAAAACTATGGGTATTTCAGAACATGAGAATTATGGGTAGTTCTAATTGAACAATGTAACACTGACTCAGTCCTCCACTGACACTCACTAAGAAATTGGATAGTGATGGATGCCTCAATGTTCTTTGAATAACCGTTAAATGGAATGAGTTCAAAATTAGATTTCATTGACATCATATGCAATTATCGAATTCAATTGAAGAATAAACTCGTCTTAGGAGACCAACGTGCTGACGCATGGATTCAATGAAACATTGCTAGTGTGACTATAACTTGTCCAACCTTTGATACCATTAGAACGGAATCAGTTGAAAAACAGCTTCTTGCTGAAACTCGACCTATTCACTTACAGATATGTCTCATGTTATTTCAACAATTTTTTATCATGTCACTAGTCATTTCATTCATTAGGAGAGGTAGGCATGTCAATAAAAAATGTTCGATACCGTAAGGATTTCACTCAAGTTGAAAATACGAGAATTGTTTGTCATCACAAAAAATGTTGAAAATAATTCCAAACAGAAATAATGACTATTCGGTCAACTGAGTTTTCATTATTATGAAGCTGAGATCGATATTCAAGAATCGAAACATAAGATATAAAATGCATCATGATATTTCGAGATTAATCACACTGGTGAACAATAAAGGTTCAATAATCGCCTATGGATTACGAAATCTCAGGAATTTTTTTCAGACGAATCTAGCAAAATGTGGTCATTCTTGCACAGATGAGTATTTATTCATGTATTTGACACTCGATTGGTGAAGGACTTTTCTATAGAACTATTCTTATTCGAGAACAAGGTTAACCAATTTTAATCATTCATAATCAACATAATGTGCCATTGAGGTTATTGTTGAGTTGAGAATGAATCTTCAGATGAATAATCCATGGAAACAACAAATTTGTCAGTGGCACAAAGAACTATTTTGAAAGACTTCTAGTGAAGATGTGTGAGGAAAATGAAAAGTTCGTGTTAATTATACTAGATGAGAAACTAAATATCAAGTGGACCCATTTCCATCGACTTATCGTATCATAATCACTTACCAGCTTGGACAAACAAGCAATCAGAATTAAACCTTGAATATTGTTATTATGAAATTGAAGAACAAAATACACTCGATGATATTATTAGTTAAAATTTTAAAAAGTTGCAGATACATATTTTATCTCTTGTGACAAGATCATATGATTCTGATTGATTCAACACTCATTTGACTGCAGGTTTGGATGATGTAGTTATGAACTATGAAAAACTGGATGGAACTAATAATCATTTGAAGCTTCTTCTTTCTCGACGAGTCGTATTTGTTTGTACATAGTTCTCTCAGAATCTATATACTATCCCGGAGAATTCCATCGATAACTCTCTAATTCATTGACATGAGTTTCTATTTTTAACTTCAAATTTTTATATGAGCAGGATCAACTCATTCATGTTTATCAGAGTGTCACCATTTGTAGTTATCGCACCTACCTTCCATGTTGTTTCACCTTCCAGCCAGTTATCTTTATATTGATTGATGCCTGGACATCAGAAAGTTATTTGTTATGATAGAGTATTTATCATTCAGTTAATCAAATTTGAAGAGTTTACTTGAGTTCTAGTCGCTGGTAGTCTAGATTCGATTACATAATCCGTATTGTAGTGAGAACCTAACTGGGTTACAGTTGCAAAACAAATGAATTCGGTCTGGGTATGAAATCGAGATTTATTTCGACGACATAAGTACTTACCTTACTAAATACGAACGATGTCAACAATATGAACTTATTTGTATTGCAATAATGCACCTACACTAAGAAATTATCGTTAAAGCACATTATGTGATGGAAACAGCACGTTAACGATTTTATTATTCCACGTTTTGAACATGTTGTTTCCAAAACCATTCAACTACAGGCTATTCCTTGAAAAGATTGTTCATTCTCTTGTATATATGACGTTCCTGTTTTGTACTCCTCGCACAGAGCCAAAATAAATGCAATTTAGGGTAGTCCGCACGCAAACAAGATACACTCCACTGACCCCAACATACGGAGAAAGCAATATCAGTTGAAAATGTGTATCCAAAATAATGAGAAGATATATTACGGTAGTGGAACGCTCAATTTATTCATGTATGAAAAGAATATAATCATGAAAAACCCAGAAACTTCTTGAACTTTGGAAAATGTCGTACTTATGGGGTGTGAAAGTGTTGATTAAGAATTTAGACCAATTCTCTCAATGTTCATGAACCTTAATTTGCTATGGATATTCATGGAATATTGCGAATGGAATGATGCATTTGCAAACTACTAGGTAAACGCTTTTGTAGCACAATGAGGATAGCAGTTTTTCATGTTTCTGTAGAATTATGGGCAATTTGGCCCCTATCGTATTGTACAGGTTCTCTTCGGAATTGAAGAGATAAATAAATTGGGTTGATGAACGAAAAATCAAAAAGAAATAAAGTAAATAATAATAGTGAATTTTTGTCAAAGATTTATTATTCCATATGATATTGAATTTGCCTGGACATCCGCTCCAAAGTTTGCTTTAGATTAAGTCTGAAGCAGATAAATCGTCCAGACATATTTTTCTTGCGGTTTATTTTGTCTCATAAAACACCTCATCTAATTTTACGCTCCAACTTCATAAATTCCTCCTCAACCTTCATTCATTCATTCAATGCTTGTTTGAACAGGACTGAAGAACTAATTTCATTACTTTTGCAGAATAATTACAAAAACTACTACATATTCACTTTTTATTATTCTCATATATCTCTCGATATCTACTATCTCAGTTCGTGATTTTTTTGTTTTTTGAAGTTATCAATTTCAATAATACATGATGACTGAACAATCTCATTGCATAATCGAATAAAAATCAGGAAAAGTTTATTGAAAGGAGTGGAAAGGATTCCCATATTTGGTGAAATTGATTAATGTTAAGATATATTTGCATAAGAGTACTCATATGAGTATTAAAGCAGTCTGTTTCAATAACTGAAGAGACAAGAATGAGATTTTGCTAATTTTTCTCGAGGAAAAAATGTATAGCCAGATAATGACTAATAAAAGAGAGGTTACAAATTTCCTTGGAGAGTGTGAAAAAGTACCTCCTTCGATGACGAATCTATATGCTTCGATAGGTGTTATTGGTGTAGATGAAAAATAATCAAAATAAATGAAAAAGAAGCAGAATGTTCGGAAACTCTTTCAAATGAGTGCTTTCCGCTTCTTGCTCCAGGTCATCTGAAACAAACTAGATGTTCTTCGATTCAACCCTATATAGAGACAAGATTCATAATTTGAATGAAGTTGTACTTTTATCTTCTCATTGTTGTTGATAGGTACCCATCTATTACTCAAAAGACTGATATTCCTTCTTCTTCAGGGATCCACGCATAGTCATTATGCAGCCGTCGATAAAATCACGGCGAAACGAAATTCTAAAAATGTAACATAAATATTATTGTAATTAAAATTATATATACAAAATAAATAGGTAGGACACGCGCTCGTAGCCAAATGGATACCGATAGTGACACTGACTGTAAATATTATTTAGAGCCACAATATATTGATAATTATTAGAAATGATAAGTCAAATTTATGCCTCAAAACAAGAACACACTATATTAAATGCTCACTACCACAAATTGTTAAGCAAATTCTGATGCAAGAGTAGTGAGATCCTAGTCGTTATGGAGAGGTAGATTAGCTAGAGTAGGTAGTGGAACAGTTGGATTCACTCTTCCTTGCGTGGACATGAATAGACTGAAAGTTTGAGTCTGAAGTTTTTTGTTAGTGGGGTCACTGAATTATAGGCAATACGGTTATTTTCTTCTGAGAAGAATAGTTGCCCAACATGATATTTCTTAGTTGGACTCTTTGAATCATCCACATTTCATAGAGAGAGTGAATAATTCTTGTTTTGAGGTTGTAAAAAAACGTCTCCCTAGTTTGTACACCGTACCGTCACTCCAGTGTTTGATCAACTTATATTAGGCACTTAGCACAAAGCAAGATTCTGGGGCAATATACGAAGTATGATAATAAACTTCCTTCTTGAAATTGACACGCTGTAACTTGCACCTTTAACTGCGAGCGTACCGATAACTGACGCGTTTGACGATGAGTTTGTATTGGTTCTTCTTAGAACTGTTCTGGGATGGTTCTGCGCATGCGCAGTTGGTTAATTTCCACTAGCGGTCCTAAGAATATCCGAAACGAACATTGCGTTTTCACTATGGGTGATTCTCATGACATTCTTTGTAACATTTCAGATAGAAAAACGAAATTTAGTGGTTGTGTATTATATTTTCATGGTTTGGATCTGTTCAATCGGAAGAATGAGAGGTACTGGGCCAAATTTACATGTAATACAAGACGTGAATTTTCAAGGCGATTTGGTTCTAATTGCTGGATGGGTATTATCGTGGGAAAACTTTTGGGGCCAATAGTGTTCGACCTCAGACGAATTATTCGTCTGAGTGTTCGACGGACAACTAACTGCGGAATAATATCTACAGTTCATCACAGTTTTCCACACTGCGGAAT